GGAGTCCAGCGTGAGGATATAGATATTTGGTCTGCTTTCAATGCCTGGCAGGAACGGCCTGAAGGGCCGTTGAGGCTCGTATATGCCCACAACGAAGCCTGGGCGCTTGACTTGCCGCCGCTTGATTTCATGGGTATGCTCGGTATGTTCCTTGCGTTTACAGCAACGGTTTCTGCCTGCATCTGAAAGGAACCTTGAGGAAACTTGACTGCAATTCATGATTTGCTCTATCTTTCTGGAAGGGTAACCAAGAATACATACAGTATATTACTGAGGCTTCGTAGTTGAGTTCGGGCTGATAGAGGCCTGGTATTGTATCATGCAGCTGCATGACAGGAGTGAACGCTGACACAACTCAAAACCAGTTCTAGTTCCCTCATCTATCAGTTCTAGTTCCCTCATCTATCAATGATGTGTTTGCTGTTTGATTGACATTGCTATCTGGGTTTTGTCAAATCCCATGGGGCGCCTGTAGGTCGGTCCCAAAGCAGCACGCCATCCGTACCAACATGAGCTGACTGAGCTGACCTATTCAGAGGTTCCCACTGAACGCCATCAAGCATCGTCGCATTCTGAGCGATGCTGGGTACATGTTCATTGGCTCCCAGAACTGACCTTGCCAGGGATGAACATTCCAAATCACCCCTCGGGGTCGATCATGACCATTTCATGGTTGAACCTGATTTCGCCTCATTTCTCCAACAACCAACGAACATATGATTCTGCACATTGACATGCTGGATGGTGAAAAGTCTTAAAGAGAGTACTCAATGTCCCAAACGGCAAAAGCATGCAAAAGCACCCTTGAACCTTCCCACCATCACATCAGCATCTGGGCGCAAGCCTCGAACAAAAATCCTCCCAGCCCGATAGTCTGCGGATGTCCATGGCGGCTTAGTTAGTCCGCAGGATGGGTACTGCAGCTTGCTGTGCAAAATGTGCAGCTCGAAGCGCTCACACTGCTTGTCAGCCATGATGCTCTCATTCAGCATGCTGCTGATGGGGAAACTTTGAGGTTGCGACCACAAGTGAGGATCAGCCGAGCTCTGCAGAAAGTATGCAAACACCCCAGTTTTGAGGTTCAACATCACAGCAGCACCAAATGAGTTCGCAAAGGAAAGCCGCCCAAAAGAAGACGGGGGGCATGCACGAACGTCCAGCGCTCAGCCTTGAGCCTAAAAAGACGAACCTGACGCACCTGACATCACCTGACGGCCAATTCTCATCATGACCAGAAAGCTCAAATACTGCAAGTGTAAGGTCTCCAGGGCCAATCCAGTCCTTAACTTAAAATAGACTTACAGTATCACCAAGTCGACAGTCTTTCACAACATGTCAAAACACTTGCAATGCAAGTTTAGTCGACTCTAACTTGGGATGCTAGGCGACCCAGTACTTGGTAGAATTGTGTTGCCACATTCTGTAGAGCATGTCAATGCCAACAAGCATACACACGGGACAATGATGGACAATGCGTGCCCCAGTACGCAATTGAAATGCAGCCAATGCAGCCTACACAAGCTAATAAGGCAGCGTGAAGTCTGATGGATTTGCTAGCTGCTAGCATCTGTCTGAATGCGATTCTCATACACGAATTATCTGCGATATATAATACGGAATGACGTGCCCAAAGCTCTTTGGAGCATCTTTCCTGGAAGACTGCATCATCCAAAGCTAAGCTGTTTGCCATCAGCATGATCATTGTCGCAATATCCTGAGTCACGCTTCAACATCATCTTTTCCAAAAGCACAGTTGAAGGAATGTGAGACAATCTTAATTGAAAAACACAACCCTGGGGCCTGTGGATGCTGAGAAGCCAGCATCTGCTGTTTTTTTTTTTTTTTAAACTAATATGCCCCATGTTCATGTTCGCAAAGTGTTCATCAGTTTATCCTTTTAGAAAGTCGACGGGCCTCTAAGTGTTCTTCCTTGTGAGTTCAACTGAATTGACCCTTCTTTCCATCTCAAACGAAATGGTGCCAAAATGACCCCAACATAGCGTACAACCATCAATCTACCGACTTGAAAGCACCTTCCTCCAGGATGTCCTTCCACGTCCAAGATCTTCCGCTACAAATGGTTGTAAGAAGTTTTGACACCTCCTTGAGGAAATCTCAGTGGTCCACCTGTCTACAAACTGCTGGCCTGGTGTTTTAAAGTGTTGTTGTTTGTAGCCCGCTCCTACTTAATTAAGTAAGGGAGTAAGCTACTAGCTACTAAAGCTACTAGTATGGGCGCAGGATAGCTCACACTTCTTCAAGGAAGCTCCCCCCGCCTGAGGGCGTGGGGGGGAGCTTCCTTGAAGGGGCGCTCGCACTGATGATTTAGTTCCTAGATGAGTTGGGACACTTATCTTCATATAGATAGATGTCCAGGGATCAAAAAAATCAAAGCCACTCATCACGTATCAGCTACATCTGTGAATTATCCAACAAATGTCTTCGTGCACCAAAGACAAACTCAAGTAGGAAGGTGTTCAAAAAGGCCCCGTATCATTCTCGAGTGACAATTGTCTCATGTTTTTCTAACATCGTTCAAGTGTGAAGTCCTGGAAGATAAGGAAACACACACACACACTAACACTAACACTCTGCCTGGCTAGGCCGCCCTGCAGGTCGTGTGTTCGGGTCAACGTCTTGCATCCGGCGCCTCATTGGGCAGTCAGTCACCATCACCATTACCATCCATTAAGTCAAATCGGACATACTTACACAATAAATAACTATAGTCTTGTCTTGAATGTATTTAAATGTCTCAAATACGTAACGGGACCTTCTGGCACCCTACTTGGGGGGGGTAGCATCACTTTGTTTAGGATAATTAAGTTTGAGGATTGCGTGCTCGAGGGCTGGAAGTTTTACTCTGCATGCACAAACAGGAAAGGAGCTAGAATAAGACAGGCTGGTGCAAAACGGTATGATGCCTGCCCCATTTTAGGGGAGGAGACTACTCTTCATGCCTTTCATTTCTGGGAAATTCATTCATTAAACTGAAATGAAATGCTGTAAAAGAGAACCCATGTGTGTGTGAAGTCAGTAAATTATTTGTCAGACAAAAAGACAAGACCAAAATAGAATTTATTGTCAATAAAACAATAACCTCAAATAGTTTAATGCAGTCTCTACAATATGTTGATCTTTTCTTGTTTCTTTGATGAATCTCTCCCTTGAAGTGTTTTGGTTACAAGACCGCGAGACACTGTCAGCAAGGTCTCTTGGATCTCCGACTCAACTTGCTCTCGAGAAAAGCCCATGTCCACCAAGGAGGAGACCTCAACACGAACGCTCTATGGGGTCCGTCAAGCTGCTGGAGGTCCACTCAGTGGGAGCTACCAAAGACTTGGACAATCGAATATGGTGCAGTGCCCCCTCAATACACAGTCTTGCATGGGCAATGATTCCTCTTGTCCTTCATCTCCTTCCCGTGTGGTGCGTTCCAAAACATATTGTGTGTAGTGTGTAGTGATGTGTAGTAGTGTGCAACTGTACCTTACCTGCCACATGTCAAGTAGATCGTAGTTGCAGCCACCAGTTTCTTGCCTGGCCTTCTTGTTGGTTATTTAAACAAAGGCTAATTATCCCTAATGGATGAAGGTCATGATCCTGCTCCTAAAACCGACCTTTGCCTGTTTGGTAACAATAGGACTGACAGTAGTAAAAATTGTGTGGAACGAAAATGACCCCAAACGCATGCAAACGGTTGCTCTAAAAAGACTTGCCATATCAACGGCCACACCTCCTCTCCTAGCCTCAACGGACCAACAAAATGACACTTCTTCAAACTGGGAGCATGGCAAGCACCGCAGGGTTTTAGTTGCTGTTAGCATTTGACTCCCAAATCACCTTGTCAGGGCTCTGACCATGCTTTGGCGAGAGGCATCAGGCCAGGCCCGAGGAGCCTGCGACTAAGTGGGTCCAGAGCACACATTATTCTTTATAAGAGTAGGCTAAACATGTGTAGCTGGGTAGCCTTGTTTAATATAGATTCGACTCGGATTTATGAAGCATCTACAAAAACACCGCTTGGAGGCCCTGGAACGACTGGAAAATGCATAATTGTCTGTCGAACAATCGATCGCTCAAGTGTTGACATGCCCTCGGTTCGGTTGCATAGCGCATAGTACTTCACAGCTCGCACACGTCAAGGTATTAATTTTCTCGCGGCTGATCTTCTGCTTAGTGGACTCTGGCTGCTGGGTCCAATAGAATTGGTCGGACAAGAATGAATGCCAGCGCTGCCCCTTACTACTATACATGCGTAGGTCTGGACCTTTTGCCTAGAATGCATTTTTCACTGACCACTTCCAAGACTTCCAGTGATGTGGAATCAAACTCAACTTGGCCTCAACACGTAAGTACTGCAAGCTTCTTTTGTATAGTAAGCCTTACAAAACAGTCTTTCTTCAATTATTGATTCAACTTATTAAACAATCGAACGTGACACCACTTGGGCTACCTAAGCGACCGATCACACCCTGTGGTTGCATTGCTTTCACTTTAAACCTCGAATGGTGCAAGACAGGAGCATCTGATCATATCTCTGGCCATCAAGCAAACCAATCCTGAACTGCTACGCAAGTATCTAGTGACAAACAAAAAGCAAGCGCTAAGGCGGGCTTTGAGTAGCTTATTGGACCCAGCACTGGCGAGATGGCTAAATCTTCCTGTCAATTCAGCGATCCACCCAAACCTCTCCACTTGGGAAACCTGCAGTCTTCCACGGTTCCCACTTGAGCTGCTACAGGGGACAAATATGGCTGGGGACTGCACCTGTCCATCCAAGAGGCATATCATGGATTTACACAAACACCGAAAGACATATGATGTTTCTTTGTGTACACCTGCAAGAGCATTGTCGAGCCACAAGCCTGTGTTGCCTATGAATTCCAATTTGAATCCAAATCCACAACCAGCGAACTGGCAAAACGACTAACCGACTAACCATCTATCTTGCCGCAAGATGTTTCGAACGATATATAAGTCTTGAATGAGATTGACCTGCTCTGGACCCCATCACCATCTCAAAAACCATGATGACCAGCAATTCACGAGAGTCGATAACGCTATCAAAGCACATTGGAGCCATTGCATATCCCCTGTGAGTGGATTTCTAATCATCGCCATGCCTCAGGCAAGCACTTCTGGCAAAGGCAAACAAAAGGTTGCCCTTTTAAAAGGCAACACACCCAATCCTGGCATTCACTGCCCCTGAAGGGAAGCAGAAACCAGTGAGAAAAAAAAGACAAAACAATAAAAACCGCACGCTATTTACAACGAGGTTTGACCTGCAAGCTGAGGGGATGCATCCATCCGTCCCGTGCGAGCAAATTCAGAGATGTCAAAAGCCGTGTCCTCGCCTGGGGCAACAATTTGGTGCTCATGAGATGAGGAGAAGAGGAAGAAACAGCTTATTGATTCATCTTCAAGTCTCACAACATCGTCAAGTCCCATGTTACCTCACTAATCTTATCTCATCTCGCTGCAGTAACCTTTTCATCCCTTCAAGGCCTCATGAGGGCGAGGACCTGGTAGAGCTCTTGCTGCAGCTGCGGCCTGGAGGTTCTCGGCTGCAGCTGCGGCTGGCCACGGAGCTCTTGGAACCGCGGCGGCTATGGTTGTCGCGCACGGCCTCCGTGGCAGAGCCCGCTGGCACGATGACGATCTGTGGCTGCTCATGGGACTCCTGGGATTTGGAGAAACCCGGCGCTGGGATTTGGAGGGATTGACAATGATTGCAATTACAAATCGTTACTCTTGGCTGAATGTATGGGCATATCAAAGGATATCAGGTCCTTCTGATTTTCCTGTCCAAGCGAGAGGGGCTTGAAGGAGATCAGGAACTGGAACAATTTGTTCTACACATGTCTACATACAGCGCTCCCAACGACAATTCAATGACATACAACACATATCATGATCATATCATTGTATACATTGTTTCACCAATTTGCAAGGGCTCAATATCTGCATTGTCAATGAGTTGCGCAAAGCAACTAATGTCGTGTTATCCCGGCCACGGACGTCAGCTTTTACATGTGTCTACTGAAGTGTCACACTGGTTTGCACACTGAGTGTCACAGTGACCACAGCCACAATCATCTTCCGGGTCCGAGGAGACCTCTGGATTGGACGCCAATGAGCTGCGTCGGCTCCTAGATTGCGCCTTTTTCAGGCTCTCCTTAGCGTCTTGACAAGATGGATGGGAAGCCTTGAATTAGACAATGCGCAAAAAAACTGCAACAAGCAATAACACTTCAGGAAGAGATGTCCATTGCTGGCAACCCTCCCAATCCCTCCCACACCACGCTTCACATCTTTAACAGACCATGCTGTTATGCATTTGTGTCCAAAGATCCGGGTCCATGGCCGACTCGGTTGAAATCCCGCTCCGGTAGACGCGGTACATAGTCCGCGGCCCCGTGTCACTGCTCAAACGGTGCTTGTCATGGCTGCCCTGGACAAAGGTGCCAATGATGAAGCCCCGTGGGCCCTGGAGGTAGCATGGGCGGCATTGCTGACAAAAGATGACAAAAGTACAATCAAAGAGGACACAAACACATCGAATAAGACACAACACATCGGCAAAACAAGTGGATCATGGAGAAGAATGCAGAAATTCCTCTTGGGACCAACGACGGCTGGCTTGTCCTGAGATGGCGCTTTCCCTTGGCCATTGGAGATGCGTTCCTGGAAAAGCAGGAAGAGAAAAACGTGATCAAAAAAAGGTCACAACTACTGCCCAAAATAAACAACTGGGACAACACAAGTTATTCCACTTACCAAGCACGTATATACTGTCTCTAGCTACTAGCTTGGATCAGCTACCTCAAGGAACAGCAAAGAACTTGCAAATCTTAAGCCGAGTTTCCGACAACTCTCGTCGTTCCTGCTCCATTTGCTTAAATCTCTCTGGGCCCATCTGCCCGCCGCTGAGAACTCTGGCTGGATCTTTGGGAGCATAGGTCTCTGCAATGGGTGTTCCAGGTGATGCAGGTGAGGTGGGTCTGCTTGGTGAACTCGAGGTGGCTTGAGCTCGACCCCTTCCTGGCCAAAGGGAAACCCGTCAACCAGTGCATGTTCAAGGGTCTTTAATTCCCACACCAGGCCTGAAAGCCGCCAAGAAGCCAATATGTTACAACGTGTGCTGTTAGAACAATAGAAAAAAACAAACAAACATAGCGTAAGCTCTACATAATCTTACATCATATTATAGTTTAAGTTTCCAAAAAAAATCTAGGAACTAAACTAAAAGAATCGTGCGAGTGCTTCTTCCAAGAAGCTCCTGCCCCCCGCCGCCCTTAGGGCCTGCCCCCTAGCTTCTACTAGCTACGCAGCCTACCCCCCCGGGCTTTGAAAAAAATACGTATGCTTATGGTTGTTCATCGTTCTTCCAAGCTTCTGGGTGACATCATTGGAGAGCTTGGCGGTCTGGGACTGACTGGGCGGCTGGAGGGAGCACTGCCTGGGCGGCTGGGAGAGCCGCAATACTCCACTTGCCCGGTCTCTTTGTTCAAGCATCCAGCGGTGTGCGCACTGGCCAAAAGTTCCAAAGCATCAGTCTCATTCAATCCTCCTGCAAAGGAGCGGAGGCCGGAGGATTGTTGCCCGAGCGAGCGCGATGTTCAAGACTGGAGCGGTTTCACGTGCCTTGCCAACAAGGCCCGTGCGGGCTTCCCTTCGTGTTTATCTTCATTCCGATAAAACACTGCAGAAGAGCAAACTCTTTTCTGAACTGCAGTGTAAGTAGTTCTATCATCTTATCTACTTTCTTGATGGACACATGAAATCACAATATATGCACCGCGCAGGTGTGTGTGTACATATATATATTATCTATAGTGGTATATTATATATGTCCATCTATGATCATCTATGTCCCCGTTCTGCACTTGGCTCGAATTTTTGTTGGTAAACGCGGAAGTGTTCGCACCTTGAGCAAAGTTTGATATTCACGAATTGACCACTAGCAACAAGCAACCACAGTTGTTATTTCACTGCTTTTCTAGCTTCCTGTGGTTCACACTTTGCGTTTAGTTTGTCGTCCACAGAAGTTTCTTCATTGACCCTCACACTATGCAAGTCAAATTTTGGATCCCCAGAAGGCCCAGAGGTCAACGTATCTAACATATTTGCTTTATTTGTTGTAGACCATGTTGTATTCTGCTAACAGGAAACGAGGATGTCCAAACCTCGCAGCCATGCACATAGCATGTTTGGAGACCACGCCCACATTTTTCAAGAGCAAGCCGAAATGAGGCAATGCAATGTGCAAGCTTTTCTTCCAATATCTACATCGGTTCTGCGGTCTGTGGGGAACTCCGTGCTCTCCTTACTCTTGCTTAAGAGGCCACTGCACGCTATTTGTTTGCAGAGTATCAGAGTGATCAGCCTGAACAATCTCAATATGCAAGGAACGAATTCCCATTGTATATTTGAAGGTGGCTCGCTACTCCCCATGCAAGGAACGAATTCTGACAAAGACAAATCTTGGAAACATGTTCTGTCAGCGGCATGCAGCAGCAGTCCTTCTTTCAAGCCAGGCACTTGTGGTGCAATGAGCCAACCTCCTCCAACACGAATCCTCGCTGGAGATGCTTCGACTTTGGGCTGGAGCAGTTCGGCCAAAAGGGGACACTGTGGTGCGAAGTGGCCAAATTTTGCACCTGAGTTCAACTTGACTTCAAGCGAAATCCGAAATCGAATCCTCAACTTCAAGCTGCAATAGTATGACGGGGCTTTCTGGTGCTTAATGAATCAGCGGAATTGCATGGACAACAGACTTGAACTGATTGGCAGAAGCGGTTCACCGTGTTTTGTTTGACCCCTTCTACGATCAGCCCAGGCACACAATTGGCAGCTCGGATCGGTCTGAACACCTGAGCTGTTTGAAAGATCTCTTCTTCACATGGATCATGTCAAGTCAACTATGACGCACCATAAGCTGGCCGCAAGCAACACGATGAGTTCGAAACCGCGGTTGCAGCTATATAATGTAAAATTGTACATTACAGTCATTACAGTATATGTGTTTCATCGGATTTCAGTTTGGAGAAGTGTTTGGTTCAAGGGGAACAAAGGGAGTTGGCCCGTTGGGTTGACCCGCGGCTTGGCGTTCAAATACATCTTAAGTCTTATCTTACTAGTATATAGCTTCTTCTACTAATAGTAATGCCCTTGTTACTAGTAGCGATGCATCTAGGAATCTAGTAGCTTCTTTTAAGTCTTAAGTTGCCGTCGACTCGTCGACCAATTGATTTCAAAATGACGCCTTGCCGCCTTGCTCGCCCAAGCTGACACACTTGGTCTTGTCATGCTTCAATATGTTTAATTAGTGACTGATACTCAAATGGACTCTTTCCAACCACAGCTCTGCTCCTGCCGAGTTGTGACCATGCCAGGCCACCAACATTCGCACCAGGAGGCTTTAAAAGGGATGGACAATCAGGTGCGACCTTGGACCATCGGCAACTGTGCGTGGACCACTGCCCATGCGAAAAGGTTGTGAAATGCTTCTCACCAACCTTAAAGAGACGCTCTCATATTTCTGACGTCAACTGCCACAAACCATCTGCCTGAGGATCAATAACATCTCTAGCAATTTGCCAGGCTATATCGCTACAACTAGATATGCTTCCCTTGGCCTTGGAAAAGAATCAAAGTTTGCTAAGTAGGCAGCTGCAGCCACGATGAACAGTGTATGCTTCGAACATCTTTGAACCAAGATTCGCAACATACACACTTTCCAGCTAGGCCACATGGCGACATGACCCGCAAAGTTGACAGTCTTCGTGCCGCGGACCTTTCAGTTGATCTTCCAATTCCTGTCGGGACACCAGAGGTCAACCAGTCAACCAGTTCTTTCTACCCACAAAGGGGGCACCTACCGCAGCGAAGTTGCGGCAAGCCTCAAGGAGAAATAGGAACAACCAGCCACACCAATAGGACGCTACTAGGGGCTCCTGGCCTTACTACTAGGAGCAAGAAAGCTACTAGGGGCTCCTGGCCTTACTAGTAACAAGAGGACTCAAAGAAAAAAAATCAGAAAACAAAAGCACAATATAGCACAATCACTCATCCCCCCCAGATGCGGAAGACTCCTGCTGCCAACACCAATACACAACATAAAACCACAAACCCTCCTCAAAGAATATGGACCTCTCACAACTTTAAGAACTTGCTTGGTCGCCAGCAGGTAGATGGTTCTTAGACAGTAGCTCTAAGAATTATGGTATCATTCCTCTAATGTTCTCTAACAACTCCTGACGGTTCCAACACTTCATTTCACACTGCACGGATTGCCTTTTTTGATGCATTTACATTTGGCCCGACTCTACATTCTGCAATCCCAATCATGCTGCTGTCATTTCGGCTGAGCTTCCTTGATTCGCTTTTGCAAAGCCAGCAGGGGACAATTGGCCTTTGTGTGCCCAGGCGCCCCGCAGTAGGAGCACCATATGCCGGTGGTTTGGCATCCTGCACTCAGAAGCAGGGGTTGGGTCACTGCAGAGATTGAACATCAAACGACAAGACAACATGAGACAAAAACAACTGCAATGAAGACCACAACATGCTACAACCTGTCACAACCAACCAAAGGCAAGGCACCTCTGTAGTCTATAGTCCACACTAAAATGATAAATTCTGCGAGTCCAGAATCCACGACCTTTGGGGCAATCTACAATGACTGAAGCCTACAATCAACTTCTTGTGGACTGACAAATCGGGTAAGGTTGATGGCAAAATTGGGATAAACATCCAGGTGGACTTAATCCCTCTAATCGCACTGTATGATACTGCATGTGAGTCGCCCCATTTAGACTGAAGATCCTTGCTTGAATCTGGATGTTTGTTGCTTGAGGTGGGGGATGGGAAGGATGTTCGTTTTGGACAAACAAACAAACAAACAAACAAACACAGCAAACAACATGCTTCCCTTTGCTCATTGAATGTCTTTAGAAGTGGCCGTGGGTCTCGGATGACTCAAATGCCAGCTAAATTGTACAATCAAGCGTCCTTGTTCCTAGTAGCTCCTTGCTACTAGTAAGGCCAGGAGCTACTAGTAGCTTCTTGCTCCTAGTAGCGATGCCGTTGTTCCTAGTAGCTTCCTCCAATCGGACTTGCCTGTGTCATCGCACAAAGGGCGTTTTTTGGGAACTTCCACGGGCACGTGGACTTGCTTCTCGACGAACACCTGGGTTTGCTGGGAGGCAGACACAAAAAGAGAGAGAGAGAGAGGGAGAGGGAGGAAGATGGAGACAAAAGCATGTACAATGTACTCAATTGTCATGTCCTCCTTATCGTAGTGTACTGTATAAGTAACAGTATAAATAATAATTGCAATAAGATCGAAGCTGAGTCACTTCCACCTCCTTCTCCACAGTCCTCTCTGTGGGGCTGTCTGCGTACATGTAGCACAGTTCCACTTTCCACTTGTTCGCCACCGTGCATTCGCTGCGCTGTACTTGCAGTCGATCCAACTCAACCACCTCATGCCCCAATGCCTCGATCAGCGCCTGCATTGCTTCTGATCCCGGATAGCAGGATTCCTGCCCAAGCACAGGGCATTAGCTGGTTACATTGTGAAATGTTGTCCTTCTGGGTGTATGCTGCAAACCAGCGTACAAACAGAATGCAGAGACTTTGATTTATACATATATATAGTTATATACACAAATTCCGACAGGGAATTGCATAATGCCCTCTGAACAACTGTGCATAAGTATTACAGTATTATATATCGTATACAGAAATGAGTCTGCCGGAAACCAAATCGCCAACCGGACAAACCTGTATGAGCGTCTGCCAAAACGTCTTCAACGAAGAGGACATGATTCAACAAGGTTATATATATATATATATATCGCTTTTGCGGGTGGCGGGGGGCCTATCACTGCTTTTTCATGTCCAGGCCACACTTACAACGAAGCTGAACATATCCAAAAAACAGCAGCGGCATGGTCACCTCTTTTGAAGTGACTCTATTGATATTTCATGTTTTAACTGTTAACCAAATTCCTAAAGTGCACCACCGTTCTTTACCAATTAAACTGATCATTGCACGTTTTAGCGGTTGCTTATATGGGATGTGAACATCGTGCTGCTGACATGACATCTCTGCTCTTGAACTCTGAACAGGGGATTGACACCCAAAGATTTTGATCGACCCAGTCCTCAACTGCTGCGGACAAGTCCTTTGATCCTCGCCGCAAGTTGGGGTTCGGAAGGGAATTCCGGCGTCTGCGAGCGCTTGTTAGCACTCGAAAGGCACAGTCGGCATTTGGGGCGGCACCTTCGTAGCTCGAAGGTGGACCAAAACAACACTTCGTTTCACTTGCTGTATGGCCACTTGCAGCCTCTCCACCAAAAGCGGCTGCTACTTGTGTGATATCACCCTGACGAAACATAATCCTCTACAGAAAACAAAAGTTAAATCTGATCAAGGCACCCATGTAATCCTCCACATGTTCTCCAGGTTTCAACCCTCTCCGGTCACCAAAGCGAGCACGAGAGGAGCCACGGGTAAAGGTCCCAAAGTGGAAACCATGTCCTCTTCGATCACCCTCGGCAGACTCCTGCACTTCTCCGTGTATGAACTTGGACGGCACTCTCCTGGCTTTGCCATGGATCCAAAAAGATCAAAAAACAAATTTGGTGGCTTGTTGAAGTTGCAAGAAGCGGCTTGGGAAAACTAATTTGTTTGATTTTGAGCGACCTCCACCTGTCCCTGCCAATTGCGGCCTGACATGTGCATTGACACATTGTTCTGACACTTGATCTGGCATCAAGGCTGCTATGTGTTCTGACACATCATCTAACATAAAGGCTGGGAAATGTTCTGGCCTGTATTCTGGTGGCTTGGCGGCCTTGCTGGCATGTTCTGACATTTGTCCTCCTATGAAAGTCTGACATGTGTTGTGACATATGGTCCGACTGCAGTTCTGACATGCCATGCATTCCGTCAATTGTTCTGCCATCAAACCTGCCACGTGTTCCAAAATATGCTCTGACATCGTTCCTGACATCTGTTTTATCTTCTGAGACATACTTCCGGGCAAACCTTCTGGCATTTTACCTGGCATTTATTCTGGCAATCTTTAGTAGCAAGCTATCTGGCATATCTTCTGCCATTCAAAGCGGCATATCTATTGGCATTCTATCTGTAATATTATTAATATCTTCTGACATTCTTTCTGGCAATATCTGTGACATGTCTTTTGGCATATCTTCTGACATTATGTTTGGCATATCTTCTTGCATGTTCAACGGTGTGCCGGTCCATGCGTGCCCAGACTGCGCTGGAACTCGCTGTGACATGAGGACATGGCAGGATCCTTTTGTCCAGGAAACGAGAAGGAGAAGGAAGGAGTAGCACCTTTGTTAGAATTCTATATAAAGACCCTCACCCCAGAGGTAGGGAAAAAAGGGATCAAGTAAGCTGATGAGTAGCCTTTCAGCTATGGGACAAGAACATGCACTTGTTCTACCCGGCAAATTTAAAGAGTGAACACAAACAAATTAAAGTCATGTCAAGAGCTTCAATTAACTGAAACTTGCACCAAGTCTCTTGTTTGCCTCTTCGCCAGCTTCACCAGCCTCTTCCAAGTATTCCAGGTTCAAGGTTGATCCTCCCACATTGCTCTCTGTCTCCTCGGCTCCTGATGTTCCGTCCGTCTCTTCACCGGGCTTCTTCTCTGATGGTGAATTTCCCAACAGAACCTCAGCTGCTTGAATTTCCAGCCCCAGTCAATCATTCAAGTCCCCTACAAATACAACATCCATTTAATAGCATGGTAGCACATAGCGCAGAAAGATCTGGGAATTCCACTCTCATTTGAAGCCAAGGAACGGGACCTCCAGGAAGGGCCAAGCTGCTGCCCATCTTGCTGGGTCTCCGCGATAATTTCCTCAGACCAACCAAGTCAGATTCACAGGCCTGTGCTTTCAGTCCTGTGCTGCCTTTTTGCAGAAAATTTCGCTGTTTTTAGACATGCATTAGTTAAAACATGTTAAAACTTAAAAGTTTAAGGAAAAGAAGCTGCAAGAGCTAAAGCAGCAGTGCTAGTAGTAGCAGCCTCTTTGAACAAATCCAGGGTTCCCATCTTCCTCCAAAACCGAGGGCGTCAAACTGCGGGAAAGGCTGAGGTTACCATCCTCAAGGCTCATAGTCCCCGATCGTGAAGGAGCTTGGCTGCCAGTTCCATCCTGAGGTCATCTCTAGGCACGAAGACAAAAACCAAGCAAACCTTACAATTGAGCAAAATGGGGAATGACTGTGTCAAATTCGCTTAATTAGGTTTTGTACATCTAAAGAAATCTGAAGATACGATCTAGTTTTCAAACTGCCAGGCTACTACGCTTTTAGAGTTGCTGCTGTTGTTGTTGTTGTTGGCGGCTCTTCTTTCTCTGAGCATATGACATCAATCAAGCATACATGAAGATACCTGAAAAACAGCCCCAAAGCTCATCTAGGCATCCAAGGTGGTGCTTCGCTCCAATGACTTGCTAGGCCTTCGCTCCAATGACTTGGAGTTAGATCGCTTCACCCGCTCTGCGGCTGCCTTTGCAGCCTAGCGCCCAGCATGCACCGGTCTGGAGTCTAAGGATGACTTCTGCAACCCAAAACTAAGAAAACCATAAACCTTGCGTTGAACAACCTGTTGAACATCTTCAAAACTGTCTGCGACTAACGTTTCTGGTCTGTGTCCGAATTTACGACTTTTTACAATCTTCAATTGAACAGAAAAATATCTTGGCTTTGGCCTCCACAGCAGATTCCCGGATCTCGGGAATGTAGAAGCCACCTGAACAGGATCTTCACTCCAGAAAGGAATGCTTGTTGCAGGATCCCTCCGCTTTTTGCACACACGTTGTTGCCCACTATGGCAATCTCACCCCAACACAATGCTTGTTGCATGGCCTCCAATGCGCACCGAGGTGGGAATGGGCGGCTCAGGAGGCGGCACGGGCGCCTCTTGAATGCGGATGAAGCCTGGCAGAACTACAGGGTCTCTGATCGTCGAGGCAAGGACTGCAGCTGCCATAAGACACCATAAGATGTCACAAGCGAGTGCTTTGGTCCTTTATCTGTCCGAGAAACAAAGCTCTTGCCGGTGATGAAAGTCCACTCTCTCCACAGAGGTGCTCTGCTCTTTGAAGCGAAGGCCATGACATAATTTCAGCGGCCTTAACCTGAGATAAATGGGACCCAGCGAAAGCTTTGGATCCCCAGAATTCCTTGCTAAAATGTTTGCCCGTATGGTCATCATACTAGCTGTTCGTGTGGACACCCCCAATTCAGCCAAGGTGGCAAGCCGGCAAGGGCGTCCACTAGCTGCTGTGGATGAGCTTGTGGAGCATCTTCGGCCATCTTTGCTTGGAGAGAGACCAACGGTCGGACGCGGCAACTTGGGCCAACAGGTAGAGTTGTCCTTGCTGCTCAACCTGAGTAGAATTAGCAGGATGTTCTGCAGTGTCAAAGAGGTTATTTTCAGAATAGTTTGGCTGGTGGTTGTTAAGGCAATTGATCAAATGATAATTGACATGACAAAAGTCACACAGCATGTCTGTGGAGAAGTGACAACACTTGCTGCAAAATGCCTCATAGGCTTCAGGTTCACCAAAATCAAACGCAGGAAGGCCCCTTTCTTGTTCGCATCCTACCTGAGGTGCCGGAGCAGCTGGTGCAGCGCTGGACTGATTTGGCCTGGCACCATTCTGTTGAGCGAGGTGACACGAGGAAAACGACTTTACTGCACTCCCCAACACGAGCCTCGCACGTCTTATACTAGATCCTTGGTGAAGGACACTACTTTCAGTTGAACCATCCTGGAAGTATGAAATGGACATTTAGCAATTATAGTCTCCATGACAATGAAAGAGCTTTCCACTTAGGTTAATCGTAAAAAGGGCTATGGCATAGATACATGACATGTTACACCCATCGCAACACGAAAGTATCAATCATTGCATGTCTATGTAAGTTTAATTGGCAAAAGCATGATGCGACACATATAAGTCAAGTGATTTTGCATGGCCCCGGGAGGCAGCAATCCGAGAAGCCCTTGGAGCACCTAAGAACTCACTGGTATCAGATACAGTACTTCAAGATCAAAAGTCAAAATGCACGATGGAACACCTGCTTCGGAACAAGCTTTTTGCGATTCTTCTCCCACAGCTCCTGGGTGGGATGTCACGCGGGCCATCCAAAGAATGCACCCAAACCTGGCCGCATGCCGCAGCTGAGTTTTACTCGCAATTGTGTCCGTCTTGAAACGAGTACATGGCGTACAGTGTACACCCGAAGCCTGTCTGCCACAAGTACACCCAGACTAAAAGCCCGCAGATTCTTGTCAAAGAGGTTCTTCAAATCTGTTTCATGTAGTGTAATTGCTCTTTAAGTATATTCTAGTCTAATTAGCGTGCCTGATCATATCCGCATGTTCCTCTCTTTCATCGGATTTTGAAAATCAAGAAACACATCCACCAATTCAAGCTTTCTTGAACCGTAACCGACAAGCACGCAAGTCCCTTCATGAACACTGACTTTGGCAAAAACCCTCCGAGAAGAAACTCGGTTTCAAGGCCTTCAAACTCAATCGTAGTAGTTACAAGTAGGCGGTTGGTCGACACAGGCTGGTTGAACCAGTGCCAATCTATTTCATTCCATTCCAAAAGGAAACAGCTCAGCAACCTGAATCCCACCCTGTGATCGACCAAGCTGCTCTTCCAACCGTATAATCTTTGAAAACTACAGGAAGCAAGCATCTAGAGCAGCAAGTGTACTTTTCTGGATTTGGATTTTGGTGATCTTCCAGCGGCGAGCCCAGATCCCAAGATCCAAGGTTGCCTTCATCAACGACCGCGCTGCATTCTCTGGGAAGCGGCTCAAGTCTCCACGCCACACCTGGGTGGAGTCAATGATCCACAGGCAAGCCATTCCCATGTCCAATAAGAGTGGATGAAAATGGTAATGGTGTGTAAATGCCAAATCTGTGATCAGAACAGGGATGAACAGGGTATATATCAAAAAATGAATATAAGAGAGGATGTTGACATTTGTTATTTTTGCTGATGGGACATTCAAGTGCTGTACTCTGTGCCCAGTCAATTCAAGATAAGCTCCCCATCCTATTCAGTTTCTCAAGGCATGGAGAACCCAGGACGCCAATAGGAACAAGGGCATCGTAGGAGCAAGGACGCTACTAGTAGTTCCTGGCCTTACTACTAGGAACAAGAAGCTACTAGTTGAAAAACACAAAGCACTCATTTAATCCCCCGTGGGTGGCCTGTTGGGTGCTTTGCTGGTCATTATTTAGAGAGCTGCCCTCTAAAGAATGAGTGGCAAGGGATAGAATCTCTATAACATGACAGGCAAAGGTGTTTATATAAAATGCCAAGCCAGATCCAGGTGTGGCTAAAGAGCAGTGGAAGAACATGCTCTATCAAATGGCAGGCATAACATCCAGGAAGCAGAAAGAAGAGGCCTCTATAAAATGAATATCCAGATGAATGGGGAAAAAATGTTGGGAAACCCGTTTTCACTAAACAATGACAATACTGGATCCCAACGTGGGAAGCACGTGTTCACTAAAAAATTACATTGCTGGGTTCATAAACATCTCCAACACCAAAGTCTCTATAAAATGCTTTGCCAAATCCACCTAGTGTGAATGCAGCTTTTCTTTAAAATGACCAACCAAATCCCCAAGCGGGACACGTCCATTTCCGACATGCGCCTCTAGAAAATGCCTTGTCCAGGGATCACTAGGCATTCCATAAAGTATCCAAAAACAGTCCCAGAACCGCATCTATAAAATGTCCTTCCATGTCTTCTCAAAACTCTCAACAACTACCCTCTCTATAAGATGACTACCAAAAAGGCATTTTATAGTGGCAAGGGATCCCCATTTCTTAGAGCCCCAGTTGCGGGGGATCTCATTTATTCATTTATGGCTGTCTGCTTGCAACCAGCTCCCCAATGACCCTCAGAGAAATTCGATAAATATGTGGCATGTCGGCATGTCCGCCACAGTTCACTGAGGCCACCGATCTAACCCCCCTGCCATCTCCATCTTCCCACCGAGCTGCTGGGAGCAGAATTCGAAGCGCTTCGGACTGCACCGAACGGCAAAGAAAGTCCTGCCCAAAATGAAAGAGAGTCGTGCAATCTCGGTGTCTGTTCCAACCATAAGTGAGACATACTCAGGCTGACAAGCAACACAACACAGGAAACCCCTGGAATGCTGCAAACAAGAAAAGTCCGTGTAAAAACGTACCGTATACAATAGACTTGGCAAAGACTGGATGAATTTGAATGATATATTTACTGACGTCCAATGTTGTGTACAGTAAGTAAGCGTCTGTTCTTTTCTCTTTTGTGGGTGCAGTGATGCCAATGCAGTGCTACCACAATGAACAACTTGGGCATGGTTTGGACAAACACCTTTCATCAAGCGATGAAGCCAAGGAATAACCATGCCGGGGCTCTGCACACAAGGTGTTGATCTCAAGCACTCCTTTGGAATGAAACCATCTTCTGCTTTCAGGAGGCCGACCTCTGCTTTCACGATCCAAATGTCCGGTTGCTACATATCAGTCTTTGGCGTCTGTCCTTTTCCCAAACAGAAGATCACCATAGAAAGTATATAGATTGAAGTTGTTTGCAGGTGTTAGTTTGGAGCCATAGCTATATCTTCCAGGACGACTCTCGAACTGCCAAGGTGAAGCCACTGTCTGCCCAAGCATCAACACTCTGGGACCCAATGACCTGTGGCGCATTGGTGAAGCGCTTGTGTGAGGTGACCTGGCAAAGCCATATCCATGAATGAAATTGAACGAATCAAAAGAGTCCACAAGATGCAGCAACACAAACCATTCAGCGACTTGAACCACGATGCCTGTACTTGTTCAACATACCGTATATAATTCCACTATGATATACTCCCACACACTTCTATCTATCAATTCTTGCCAGGGACCCGTTCGCTGTGCAACATTATATACTACTTCTCAAGACGAAACACCTACAATTGACTCCGTCCTGCGGAATCCACGTGAATCACAAGGTCCTCAAAACCCACCTTCTCCAGGTACGCCAGCGCACTACCCAAGGCAGCCGGTCCTGACATCACTGGATGATGAGCGTACAATATGAATCAAAGTCATGTGTAGCGAAGTGGTGGCCTTACACACCCTTCTTGTTTCAATGCAAGATGTTTCAAGACCTTTCAAGAAAGAAAACTATGACCATAAGAAGGTTTGAAATCCACCGTGCAAATATGATGATTGATCGCAGGGTCCTTTGGGAATCAATCGGTTGGGGGAGGTGAGATTGAGGATTGTCCATACATAAAACACTCACCATAGCTCACCAATTGGATCTGTGGGACATGTGGTTTTCGATGTGCAGTCACCATGAAAGGTGTCAACCGGTCAAACGACCACTCGTGTTTTGGCTCAAGAAATGGTGCGTGACTGACGCACGGGGCTTTTGTTTTGTCGCTCACAGGTTATGAGCCCAACCCTTTGTTAAGACCACCCTCAAAAAAGGTCGTTGGCTCCCATGGCTTCGAATCCTGCGCTGGCGCGGAGGCGGAGGCAGGCGAAGGCGGAGCCGAAGGGTGCCTCAGGGCTCTTGGAGGTGGGAGAAGCAGATCGACGACTTGATGCCTTGATTGAGGAGGAGCAGAGAGCGAAGTCCCTGGACCCTGGTCCGCGAAGATCATCATCCACACCGCCCTTGGAAGGTCCGAGAGGGGAGCCAGTCTCGCTGCGGCCGCCGCGTCCTTTGGAAGATGAACGGGTTGTGGCAAATCAGGAAGACAGGGCTTTGAGATCGGTGAGACCTTCGGTGCCTCAACATTCTCTCCAAGGTGCAGGTGATGACGCTGGAGTTCATGGAGGTTTGGCTGCTCTGCACGATGCTGTGCAGCGTACCTATCAGGCTTTGCAACAGGCTCTGACAGGTCCTCTTCAAGGGCATGGACAACCACCTCAGGTACCAGTTCAAGGCCAAGGTCTACTTGGTCCTCTATCTTTTGGCGCCGGACCTGGACCCCCTTGAGGTGTTCTGGGTGTGCTGACGCAAGAAATTTGATGGTGCCGCGTGCACTGGACTACACAGGTGGAGCTACGACTACACCGGATCGACAACAACCAGCTCCGATGAATCCTTTCTGGAGTCCTGCGGGGCAAGATGGTGTGAAGCAGCTGGCGAATGGAGGCAGCTCTTTGTCAGCGCCTGCAGATGGACAAGCGGGTGAAGCAATGAGTGCTGGTAGTCAGAGAAAGGGGAACACCGTCTCCGGCAGTGGACGAAGTTGAGGCGCTGCGGATGCGTATCCTCAAGGAGGCTGAGATGAGCTTTGAGAAGGAGCTCAAACGACTGGCAACCAGGAGGGAACC